AGCTTTACATTTTGGTTTTTTTTCCCTCCTCGGTCTAATGTCTCCCCTCTTGGGGAATAACACTTTTCTATGAACCTAAGCACGTTGGTAAATAGTCTAAAGTCACACAGCATTACTCAAACGCCCACGCTCTGCCATGAATCTACATGAGCCTGAGCCATCTCCGTGGGAGATGCGTGCGCCTGTTGAGACTCTCAGCAGCCTATAAGACACGCATGCCTCGATGGACGCCCCGGGTTGGCTTTTCCCTAAGAAGCCTAAAGGGGAGGATTACCTCCTTACAAAGGCACTTACCGATGCCAAGCCGGTTATAAAACACGAGGACTTCGACGGGATGAACTAAGCTACTAATAGCGACCCAAAGTAATGGCCACCCTGCTAGCTGATCCAAATTCCACTATCCGTCCCCCTTCTGCTGCTGTCCTCTACTGACAGCTGTTCTGTATTATGACAGGGGAAGGTAAACTGAGGCATGGTCTAAGGTCGCAGCTGACTGTAAAGCTAAATCTGGCCTCGGTCCGGGTCTGAAGGTGAAATTGATGCGTGTTTCCTTCTCCCTGTTGAGTGAAAATGCACCTAAGTTCGCCACGCAAGTTATAGGACTGGCATAAATGAGGGATTCCCCCTTGTTTTAGCCACCGACATTGGGTCTGAAGCAGGAACTAATATGGGGAAATTAAGGCTTGTGCTCGAGGCCAGAAGCGACTAGCTCTGTGAATGCCTCTGGTTGCTGAGTAAGTTCCCTCAGGGCTGTCTCTCTTAGAGCACTCCGCAACCAGAGGCAAGTTCCCTCAGGGCTGTCTCTCTTAGAGCTGGCATGCTTCCCACGCACACAGAGGGGCAAAGAACACCGGGCTCACAGCTGCTTAGGAAGAAGGGAGTGACTGGAGCAAAACATGGGTTTGTTCCCAAAGCACAGTCCCTTGCAGATGCCACTGTCTGGCAGGAGACCAGGCTAGTTGGGGCCCCTGGTGTGGCCGTTCTCATGTCAGCTCTTCAGGGGCTGCCGTGGGCTGCACTGCAGGCCCGTGGGTGTAAATCAGGAGTTGTTGCGTTGAAGGAAGTGGGCTGCACTAGTATGTTTAGAATCAGGGTCATGTTCCAGAAAGGTTGGTCTCTGGCTGGTGTTTCCTTCGCCTCAGCCTTCCCAGGACAGCGCGTTGGGGGCTGGTGGCAGCACGGAATGCCTGATCCCTAGTCTTGGGGGAAACGTCTGCTCTTGCTTTAAACAGAATCGCTCCCAGAGAACTCCCTCCCCGTGGACTCCACCTGTGGGATGCTTGCTAGGTTCTAAGTCTCCCTGTAAACACAAGCCACTCGCGATGGTTTCTGTCCCCGGTGAGTGTGAAGAAAGTCCATAGCAACAGGAGCTGAGGGCGTAGCGCTGTTGTGGTGCCTTCCTGGGTCTGCAGGCAGCCTGAAACGAGCTCAGGAACAAACAGTCCAAGTGCCCACCTGCAGATCTCCGACCCCGGCCGCCCGTCCCGAATCCCAAAGCCTCCAGCCTCCCCGCTCGGCACAGAGCAGGTGCTGCGGAGGTGGGGGCAGGGCCGGACACAGCCGGCGATCGATGCTGGGGTCTGGTTTGTTTTTAAATCCTCTCTCCTCCCTCTCCCCTGTCTTACGAAGGTGGCAAGGCCCCAGTGATCCAGCTCCGAGAAGGGCAGGTGCAGAACGCGACGGCCTCGCAGCAGTTCTGCTACGCCAACCCAGGGACCCCGAAATGGCACGACATATGGACCCGCATGCAGGTAGGAACTGGCAACCGCTAGGCCAACCGCAGAGCAAGGGCCATGTCTCGCGGCCCCGTCGCTTGTGTACAAGCCAAGAAGCCCAAAGAAAGAGGCTTTGCCAGGTTTGTGCTCACCAGCAAACGTGCCTTGAACTCCAGCCCCCTTGGTCCTGTGGCCTGCGTTGGGGAGAGAAAGGGGGTAACCAGGTACAGGCCAATTGCCGCGACAGACCCGTCTTACCTGCCTTTGGGCCAGTCCCTGGTGGTTTCTCAGCCTTTGCCTTGCTCTTCCCATCCGGGGGTTTTCGTGGCATTAGCAACCAGACTGTGCCTGGTGCTCTCTAGCAGGGGTGGGCAAGATGCCGCCCATGAACCGGATCCGGGCTGCCCCCAATTGAGCCCTGGAGGCAGGGGAGCGTGTGAAGCCATTCACTGTTCAAAATGGCTGGTGGCTCCCTGGAGAGCCACACGCCCCTAGCAGGGGCAGGGGGAGGGGGAGAGACTTTCTGAGCTCCCCACGCTCCAATTGGCCTGGGCTGGGAAGTGGACAAAGTCTCCTCTCCCTGCCGGGGCC